AAACATTTTAACTGGGACTTCAGTGAGAGCAGGCAAACGCTCAGGGCTTTTGCAGAAATCCAGCCTAAGCCCCCTGCAGTGAACGGGTCTCCTGCCACAGGCTGTTTAGACACTTATCTATACACTGAAGGGCTTTAGGTTTAGGCAGCCACTTTTTAACCTCTCAACATTTCAAATGAGCACACAGTCACAATCAGGGTGGCTGAGTCAGAAATCGAACAACAAAAAAATTGTCTTCCTTCAATTAACCATATCTCTTTGGCCCGGTTGCCCCTTCAGCAACTGCTCAGATGATGAAAGTACCTTTTTCCATCAGTTGCCACGCTCCCATGCCAGGGGTATAAAAAAAGTCACAGGAAAAGGAATCCATTCCTAGCTTTTATCATGAGTGGGCAGCTGCTTGGGCAGGGAAGAACGCCTACCCTTCTTTACAGTTCCTCTCCTAGACGTGCTTCAGTCTGCACTTGAAGAGCTGACACCCAGAAATGGTGCAGGAAACATTCACAGACATATATTTTCAGAAAACGCTGATTTTCAGTGCTAAAATTATTGGGAGTGATAGGCAGTGACTTTTTCTCTGCACATTTAACTGTTTGTCTCCATGAACCATGAAGTAGGGTTCATTTCATACTGATTTTCTGTAGATTTGGGGACAGTTGCTAGAATAAAGATTTTTTATGAAGTTCTTTAACTTTGGGTCATTTGCCATTTTGAAAGTTCACAGCTTGATTTTCCAAGACACTCAGAGCTCCTGCTTTGTGCTGAACTGAAGGGACAAAACTCACCAGGTTGATGAGGATGTTGAGATCATTCACAGAACCACAGAATGTTCTGAGTAGAGAAGGACCCACAAGGATCACCAAGTCCAACTTGTGCTTGCAGAGTTGAGGAACCCACAAGCAGAAGGTCCTATCAAAGTATTTTTGCAGACAGGAGGCAGTTCCAACTATCAGCTGGCTGCCACCCCCTGCTGATGGCTTTGGTCACCATAGCTCCATTCTGCAGTAAGTAAAATCAGAGCCCTTTGTGTTCCTCTGCTTTGGCTTGTGCTTTCATGAAATCATTAAGGTTGGAAAAGATCTCTAAGGCCATCTAGTACAACCATCAACCCATCACCACCAATATTACTCACTAACCCAAGTCCCGCAGTGCCACATCCTCATGATTCTTGAACACCTCTAGAGACAGTGATTCTACCACCTACCAGGGCGGCCTGTTCCAATACCTCACAACTTTTTCTGAGAATAATTTTTTCCTCGTATCCAACCTGAGCCTCCCTGGTGCAATTGACGACATCACTTCTCATCATATCGCTGTTACCTAGGAGAAGAGGCCGATCCCCATCTCTCTACAACCTCCTTTCAGGGATTTATAGAGAGTTGGAAGATTTCCCCTGAGCCTACCCTTCTCCAGAATAAACAACCCCAGTTCCCTCTGTTGCTCCCTATAAGACTTGTGCTCCTTCACAGCTTCATTGCCCTTCTCTGGACACACAATATCTTCCTTGTAGGGAGAGACCCAAAACTGAACACAGTACTTGAGATGTGGCCTCTTCAGTGCTGAGTACAGAGGGATGATCACTTCCCTGCTCCTACTGGCTGTGGAGTGTCACCTTCTTGGCCACCTGAGCACACTGCTAGCTGACTGCTGACCAACACCCCCAGGTCCTTTTCCTCTGTGCAGCTTTCCAGCCACTTTGTCCTAAGCCTGTAGTGATGCCTTGTGACCGAAGTGCAAGACCCAACACTTGGTCTTGTTAAACTTCATTTCACTGGCCTCGGCCCAGCTATCCAATCTATCCAGATACCTCTGTAGGGCCTTTCTACCTGCTGGCAGATCAACACTTCCTCCCAACTTGGTATAATCTGTAAACTTACTGAAGGTGCACTCAATCCCCTCATCCAGTCTTCCTTTGTCTATGCTGTGTTGTAAGTTTGGGTGGAAGATGCTGCCTGATTTGGGTCTCTTACAATCACATCTTACCACACATCTGAGCACCAATGTGCTTTATTTCTTGGTGGCAGAAGAGCAAAATAAACAGCTGTCAGGCACAAAGGTGAAATATCATGTGATACTAACAAATAAAATAGGGAGGCACAGGTCTAATAACACCCTCTTAAAGGCTCAGGAGAGAGACTTTGTTTCCCCAGAGCTGCTCCTTTCTTCCATAAGCTGCAGCGATGGAAGGCAGTGTCTAAGCTCGAGTCCACCTGCTGTCTCCCATCCCCTCTTCAGAGCCTGCCAGGCTCACAGCTGGACTCCACCATCCGCCCAGCACAGCACAGTGGCCCTGCTGGGGACCACATCAGGACACCAGCATGCATCGTCCTACGTGGGATGGTGCCTTTCGGGAATCAGATAGGATGAATCAGCCACATTATTTTCTCAGGAGATTTATATCACTCATGGGATCTTACTGTCCCTCTTCCTTGGCCCTAAAACAATGCTTATGACAGAACAGAAAGGCTGAAAACTGCAATTGGTTTATGATTTGTTCTTTTATACATGCAGATGGTTCACAAACTTTTAAAATAACAACCAAGCCTTGGAACACAGAAAGCAAAGGAGGCAACGCAGCCAATGACTTCTGGTCCTATTGAGGATGTGTCAGCTCACACAAGTTCATGCAGGACTGCTCCCAGCCTCTGTTCCCTCCCCTTATTCTGTGGTGTTTATTTGGATGGCGAGCACATCGTGGGGGAGGAACTAGTTCTTTTGAAACATTCACACTGCATCCAGCATAATGAGAACCCTATTTGCAGCAGTCTCGTGGATGAGACATGTTGTATTTCAGTATCAACATCACATTTCAAGCAACCATAAAGCTGATACTGAATGAGAGCTGATGGATTCAGGTGTACTTACAGCAAAAACAAACAAACAAACAAGAAAAGAGCTCCATCAGTTTGTAATATTAACCATATGACCCATACAGGATTAACAAGGTTTCTGCACTTGTTCCTGAAGGTTTGTGCTGGGCTCAAGGTTACCATATGTTCTAGGAATGCTCCACAAATGCTGATAAGTAGCCATGAAAGCTGAAAACTTGAAGTTACTACACAGACATAGGTGGTTATTTGCAGCTTCTACACTCTGCCCAGGTATATAGAGCACCCAATTGCTTAGTTACAAGAGATGTTAGCTTTTCTCATCACACATGACTAAATAATTTTCTACATACAACTTAAGGGAAAATGGAGATAAAAGTGGCTTTCAACAGGATTTCTTCTCCAGTGTGGCCTCTATGAACCCTTATGAGTTCAACAGAAACAGAAGATCAAGAGTCATAGCCAAGTGGTCTTGAAAGGAAATTGAGTTTTTTGTTTGTTTGTTTGTTTGCTTTTTAAAAAGAGGAAAATCAAAGTTTAATTTTGCCAGGAACTGTTTCTGGCTGTGCTGGAAGGTCTGTATCTATCTGGCAAGCAGTTGACTCCCGGCAAGCAGTTGACTCCTTCCATACACCAGGCATCTTCCCTTGGCATTTGAATTGGGCAAAGGCATGTGGTAAAGAATGCTTTCCAAAAGTGCTCTTTTAGGTGCCATAAAAGTTTCGTTATAAATATAGAGTACAGATGAACATCAGGGAATGTAGATCTACAGAGACTCCATTTATATGGCAAAACGTGCCTCTAAGTCTTCAAGAAGTGTGAAAGCAGAGACAAAAAGAAGTGAAGGCAAGTAAATCATAAGCATGAACAGGATGGGGTTTCTACCAGAAATAGAAAGGAAATAGCTGTCTTTGCCTGCCATTATCACCTGGGTGGAGCTGTGTCCAAACTGAGAGGCAGCTGTCCTTCTCCAGGCATGGCTCAAGGTGTGGGGGAACATGTCTGTCTGTGAGAACGTCTCCTCCTTCATAGAACCTGAACAAAGGAACAGGCTGAGACGAGGAATGTCAAGATAAATGCAACATGAAAGTTCCCTTGAGGTACATAAGGGATTTCCTTTGTCCTTGCAAAGTGCAGACTCCAGAACACAAATCACAGAATGTATTAAGATGCAAAAAACACTGGAAGTAAATCTGAACCAATGGTGGAAGGCAGAATGGAAATTGAAACTTCTGACAGCATAATCCAGCCATTATTTAATGGTCTTCGCTTAAACACTTAAAACTGGATGGGGAATTGGGTTCTTAATTGCATCAGAATTGCCCAATGAGACACCTCTGTCTCCACCATCTAAGCAGCTGGATACCCTGACACAAAGTGCTTGTCCTGGCATCTCAGCACACAGCTACACCAAACAACTTGCATCTTCAGAAACAATTGTCCCCATCCATGTTGTCTTCCTTCTCCACAAACAAACAAGAAAAAAAGCAGCAAGCAGGTAGGAGAGGACAGCATGTGACAGTCCAAGGCATTGCCCTAATGGTATGCAAAGGACAGGCTGCAAACAGGCAAGAGGCAAACCAGAAGAACAGCAAGCACTACGGCTTGGAGGAAAGCTGTGCTGGCCACAGTCAGTTGCAGACCAGACCCTACAGCTGAATTACCTACCAGGGGCAAGTGCAAAACCATTATTTCAGGAAAAACACTCCTAAAAATGAAATGGCAAGTGTAGTGCTGACTAGGAAGCAGGTCTGGTTAATATTACGAAGGGAACTAGGTTTTCCCCTTCCCCCTCCTTGCTCAAGAGCCAGAGATTTGTGTGCAAAATAGCTCAAGCTTTTCCCTGTGGTCAAAGACCAGTGTTTTATTTATTCGGGGTCAGTACCATTGGACTTGTGTCACATTTTGCTGTGGTACTCCATTATTTAATAAAGTCTATGGACACCAGCCAATGCTGCTGCTCAACACAGACCACTTTCTGACACTGCACCTGGCCAATGGGATCAGTCCTATGGCAAGAAAAGGGGAACTAAAGGTCCAGCAAGAAATTGTTTTTTAACTTTAAGGAAAGAGATTTGTCAACCCTTGTAGCACTTATTTTTTTTCCACTTAACTTGTGAGATGAATACAGCTGCCTGTGTCACAGAGCACTTCTGTGTGTATATCAAGTTGCCCTTAAATCCTTCTAAAGAGCACATGTCTCAGCAATGTCCCATTGTGACCAAAGCAATAATGTGTCCTTCCATGATTCTTTGACTTCATCCTTCACGAAGGTCCTGGGACAGCTGCATGGCCACACCATCTCCAGCTCCCACCATCTCCTCCAGGTCCCCCACTGTCCTCTAGCCAAGTTCATCACTTCTCCTCAAAGCAAGGATGGCCACCAATGCTTCCCTCGCATCTGCAGTTTCTTTTTTTCCCATTTTGCAGAACTGAATCTTGAGTAACATCCTTGTATGATGGATATATAGCAGAGCAAGACTATAATACCAGCCCAGATATAGCAGGGATTAAGATGTCATGAAAATGGGAATCTCTGCCTTCTTGACAAGAGCACTTCAAAGTGGCAGATACAATGTCTGGGAAAAAAACCTGGAGAACTGGGCAGGAGAAAATCAGATACTGTTAAAGTTCTGAAATACTTCCAAGTATTCAACCAGGTAATAGATTTGTTTAAATAAGTGGAAATAGTTACAAAATGTTTGTTGCATTGTCTAGCTTCTCTTTTCTGGTCCAGATCCAGTCCAGGGATGATGACGGAATTTTCTTCATGCATGAACTTGGAGAAAACCACCTACTATAAAAATACAGCAAAACTTCACTGCACTGCAGAGGGAGTTTTTGAGCTGGCACATCTAACACTTTCATGAGTTTCTGTTGTGCAGATAGCTTTGGGGAACTGCTTACATGACCCACTGCCAAATCAGCATCAGTGAAGTATCTGCAGAAATAAAGAAGTCAGCTAGATACGTGTAACAACACTTGCTGCTCTCCTTGTTGCTCGAATCCTTAAGGCTGTTGTGATCTGGATAACCCAAGCACAAATTTCTGCCAAAATATTACAAAGGGTTTCTGATTAAGTAGGTGTTACAGGAGAGCAGGCCCTACTGCCTCCCAAAACCACCAGCAGAAATCAACATGTACCTCAGAAATAAATATAAACATAATGGAATTTAATCTGAGATGCAGCACTGATTTCCTTCTTTCGGCATTTTAAGTCTATGTGGAAAAACTCATTAAACTCCACACAGGTTGAGATAATTAAGATCATTTTTCCTTCCTGATATCCAACTTTCATTTGGGATAAAGACTGCTGCTTGGATGCTTCGAAGACTGTTCTTTTCCTCTGCAGCCCTGGTATAACTATGCACTTAGGAAGCACGGCTGTCTGCCTGTAAACACTGCATAAATATAAATGGACTATAAATTCAGCAAGAATTCTAAGGTTCTGTAGATATTTTCCTCTATTCAGAGGGATGGGAAAATGAGGCAGACAGCTGCTACTGGTTTCTCACAGAACTGTTGGTTCAGAGACAACACAGATCTCATAATCCTCATCAGTGTTCGTTCACAGGCTTCGAGATATTTCCCCTTATTAGTGTTATGGATCAGAACTCAGCTGCAATATCTGCACAGTGCTGTAGTTAGCCCAGCATTCTATGGGATTGAGACTTGTGCAATTGGCTGCATTCAGCAAATTTTAACCAGATTTCACACACCAATCTCAAAGTTGCTAAGTTCTACAAAACTCAAGAAAAATATGCAGCTATGTAAATGTGAAGAATAAGTGAAAGAGATGGAGCAGAGACAAAAAGATTGAGAGAGACTATCATGGTTCCACTCATGGAAAAGCCAAAGCCTAGCGAATCTACTCTGTAGAAAGCAATGAAAATCTGATTGGGTCCACTCTTTTGCTGAGAATGTGACTTGTTCCTCCACATGCTCCACAGGAAAAGCACTCCTAATGTCAGTAACACATGGAGAAAGCAAGTATTTCTCAATTGAAAATGATCCACTGACTCAATAAGGATCTGGCCTAAGCTAGATATATATGTTTAAATTTCCACCTATTTTCTAAAGAGTATTCCTTACCTTTACCTAAACCAAAATACAACACTAAAAAACATATTGGGACAGTCCTTTTTGATGCTATTTGTGATTAGAGGCAAAAGCTGTTTACCATTGGTGTGGACCAGATTGGGAGCGAATCTTTGCTCGGGCACTTCAGCTGCTCCTTTCTGAAGGCAGAAGCTGAACACATGCACGTAACCCTGGCAGCCAGCGCCCTGTGATGCAGCCAGGCCTGTGGGGAACAATCCGGCCAGGAGGTGCTGATAACATTTCTTTACAGAAGGCTATTCCCAAGGGCAAGTAGTGACTCACGCAGCCGCGTGCCTGCACACCAGGAGGACATGGCTCCAGCTCTAAGTCACGCCCGTCACGACCGGTCTCTATCAGATTACTTTTGCAATTCATGGAAATGGGCATAATTTACAGATCAATTTGTCGCTTCAGACCTGGATCAAACAACAGTCCTCTGGGTCACTGCGGCTCCAGCCATGGATGAATCAACATTTAATATGGCATTAAAATTCTCTTGCAGTTGCTTTTAACTTTTGCGCAGCATATGCCAAGTGTTGCAGAATGGGGGTTCTCCTGCACTGACAAGTGGCTGCATTTTGTAGGCCAGCTCCATCTGCCTGTCCAGAGTCACACTCCTATTCTTCTGATGATATAGAGTGAGACTCTTCAGCTTCCCACACCCATTTCCCTCTCTTCTCTATCCAGGAGCAAAGCAGCCTGACCACAGGGCTGCACGCAGCATCCTTCTGTAGCACACAGTATGGTGGTAACACAGAGGAACCAAATTGTTATCACTGACTCCTCCAGCATTTTAAATTCTCTTTCTCTTCCTTGGTCTTGCTGGATTAACCTTTTCTAATATAGCAGGGTCGACTGTGGGTGTCTGGGCTAGATGTGAAGTTCAATGAGGTTCTTTATTTTCCAGGAAACACTCTTCCTTCCTTTCCTTCCGTGATTGTTCCCACAGGTTTTAGTTTCTTGTTCAGTTGTTTTTTTTTCTTCTTCCTCCTTCTGGGTTTAACCTTTGTTTGGTTACTCTTTTAGCTGAAGACACATGGGTTTCACAAGGTTTCAACACAGTGGTGCACACAGGCAGAGAGGTGGCTTAGTTTGGTAGATGGTGAGGTTCTGAGCTTCAAGCATGGACTCAGCCAGTGCATGGTTCTAATCCTACTCCACATGGGGATTAACGCCTCCCTGCAGGCTGCACAAGGGCAACAGCCCTGGTGAACTGAAGAGTTCATTCCTGCCCCTGCATACTGCAAGCAAAGATGGCGACAAGAAAGGGTAGTTGTTTTGCAAAGCTTGAGGCAGCATTTCTGGGAACTGAAGCCTCTTACTAAAGCAGTAGTACCTTCCGTGCTCAGACACATCAACGCTTTATATATATAGATATAGATATATACACACACACAGTCCTCTCTCATTAATTCCACAAAAATCTCTTCTCTACCACCATGCAAGTGCTTAACATGTAACAAACCTGACTGCACAAATTATGAGCTGCTGTGCTGGCAGTGGAGGCAGGACCTCAAGCGGGTGTTGCCCAACCTAATGCCTCTACAGTTTTTCCACCTTTCTAGCACTGTTCAATCGTCCCATGACTGCTCCTGCCCTTCTTTCCTAAGGATTCCTCAAACATAAGCCAGTGTTAGAATGAATTTTGCCCTGCTGACTGCAGCATTGCACTGCACGCCACTTCTGCTTCTGTGATTATTTCCATCTTCTTGAGGAGGCCCAAATCCCCCTCTATTGATAATATTTCCCAAGTTCAGGTCATCACCACAATCCTACATTGACACTTGGTGAAAATATTAAAGCAATTTAATAGCCAGATTTATTTTCATGAAACTCTGGCAAGAAAACTCTCTTGAATCTATTATTCCTTTTTCTCACATAAGTCATTGCTGTTGCATGATTCACCAGTTCCTTACCTGCATTATAGTTCTATTATATATATTCTCATTTGACTTAAAGAAAAAGTTCAGCAGAATTCATGCACTGAAATAGAATTTGAAATATTAGAAATTATTAATACATTTAAGAATGATTAAAAATTTATGTATTTTCTTATCTACAAATAGTTAAGTTATAACATGTTAGAGTCCTGCTAGTCTTTCACAATAAGTTTTTACTAGTTTTATTTTGACATTTGCCTGCACGTATTTAATTCTTCCTGCATAATTCTGTCCTGAATTTTTTTAGTAGTTGAAACTAGATTGACTTGACTTCAGGTATTAAAATCCCTTCACACCACCTTCTCAAGCATAGGTGCTTATATGTGTTGATCATCACCCACAGCACCATTACCAAACTTGGTAGTTTGAAACAAAACTTGTAATGAAAGTCATAATCAATAATGTCAGATACTCGTCTTAGTATTGTGAAGTAGAAAAGGGACGAAACAGCTTCTTTCTGTAACTCTTCCGTAGGTGTTACATGTGTCAGCTCTGCCTTCATTAACCAAAGTCGCTCTGCTAAAAGAGACAGAAACTGCAATTATTCCTTTACTTGGCTTTAACTTTGAGCTCATGCTGTATCAACACTTCCCCTCCTGGTAGAGGAGACCTTAGGCCAGCAAGACAGGACGAGGCCTCCAACATCTCGTTGGGCTGTCTGGCATCTCTGAGTCTTTTGGCTGAGAGCAGCTGCTGGGTACCTCCTGGCTGTGCAGATATCTGTCTGTCTGGCACATTTGACTACTCCTGCCTCTTTCTCCAAAGAATCCCCTAAATACAGGCTGTGTGAATTGCTTTGCGTGATGCAAGTTGCAGTTTCTCCTGGAAAACACACAGGTTGATGTTAATCTCTCATGACATTGGGAGATTATGAATATAATCCTTACAGAGACAAAAAAGAAAAGGAAACATCCTGATTTTCCTCTACTATCCTCACAGTAAGCTGGCTACACTTAATAGGGGACCCCATGGGCCTACTGAGATGCATCTGTTTGGTCTTCCCCTTGCATCAGGCTCCCCTACATTTATGACTCCTTTAATTTCCAAATGGACTTCTGGTTTTCTGTTGGAGACTGTTTCCTGACAAAACGGAGTAAGGGAAATCTTACTTCCATCTCTTTGCATCATATCTAGTGCTGGAACCTAATCTACAAGAAAAAGAGCAAAAAGTAGCTAGGCCAGAGTACCACAAGCACTCCTGTTAAACTAATGAAATAATGCATGCTAGGCAAGGCCAGGCCTCGCACAAGCTATCCATCACCTAATTGGCACTGATTCCCCTTTTGGTAGGCCAGCACATTGCCTCCTGGTTGTATGTGAGGGCAGCATGGAGGACAAGGATGCGGAGGCCTTTCACCAGCACTGCTGGCTTCCCACCATGGCCTCACTGCCAGGCCTGCAGAGACCCACACACATGTGGCTGTGCTTTGGCTCCCCACTGCCAACAAGGGCTCAACACGTTCACAAAGTGAGGAGAATATGAAAAGCAGAGAGCCAGGCAGTGCCTTCCATGGGCCGCCCAGCACCTTTGAGTGCCAGGCATGGGCTGTACGGGCCAGGCACCCTGCGAATGGGGATGTGAACAAGTCCTTCTCCCTTCCTGTGCTGGAGACACTGGTGGCTTTGTTAAAGCACAGCCAAGCCTAATGTGGCTGAAAATTTGGCAGAGGTGCGCTGGCCCTTTTCCCTCCAGCACGATCAGATCAGATGGCAGCACTGCTCGCTGGGGTTGGAAGCATGAAAGGATTAGCCGACTGCCCCACTGAGCAGGTGAGTGAAACCCTTTCCAACTCACTACATGTCAGTTTGCAAGTAAAACATAAGGTATAAATGCTGCTATTGTTAACAAGAGGCAGCCATCCTGGCTGGGGAGCTAGATTAGCAATTTGCCCTTTGTAAAAGGATTAGTGGAGCCCTATTGTTTCAGTGTTTATTTATCAATTTGCATTTTTAGAAGAGGGCATAGAGCTGACAAGGGCCCACATTCTCCATGTACCCAGGGCCACACCACCTTATTCCAACTGCCCGTTGCCAGAACCTACAAGAATGCCTTTAGCAGGCCAGAAATGGAAGAGAAACCCAAGCAGCTTCTTGTGTAAGCTGCTACCTAGACAAAAACGTTTTGTTGGCCTGCCT